ATGATCGTTCAAAGTGAAACACTCAAAACGCTGAGAACTTTCCGGACAACCTAATAGCAATGCAAGAGAAATGAAAAAAAAGCTAGAAAACCCTTAATAACGTATGGTTCACCTATAACGGTTCACTGTTCCAGCTTATATTTCCAACCCCTCTCTATTTCCTCTGTTAGCAGCCCTACAGTCGCATCTGTTGGTCGAGCATTTGAAGGGAGAAGGAAAGGGAAAAGAGAAGAGAGAAGGAAGGAGGGAAAAGATGGAAGATGGAAGGAAAAAGAAAGTTAAGGGAAGCTTTGCGGTTGACAGTGTCCTGAGACGGTCCGTGTAGCCGCGTTTGGCGCGCTGCCAATCGCCATTCTCCACCAGCTACTGAACCAGGTAAGAAAGAACACTGGCGAAAACGAGCCATAGACTCATAAGATATGATACATGATCAGTTTCGTCTCTCACCAAAAGAAAAAAGAACAAGGAAAGGTTGACATCGCGCCAAACGCAGCCACGCTGACACGCCTCATCATTCGCAGCAAACAAGTCTATAAATCCAAAACTAAAGGAAGAAGAATTACGAATGTCAGACGTAACAGCAACGAAAAGGAAGCTGCGAAACAAGGAAAACTGAGTTCGTGATACTCCAAGATGAGCACTTTCTTCCCACAGCCTGGGTTGGAGCAACACAGAGTCGACATACTGAGAACTAACGAAACAATGGAGCAATTTCTCGTGTCTATCAGATCTTCCAACTATTACTCTTTACCTAAGATCCACGAAATTCGTCGATATAGTGCCTATATCTTGAGACTGACTTATAAGTACAAGATATGGCTGGCCTAAATATACAAAAGAGAGCTGACAGACCTCCTGTAGGTGCTCCTGGTGTTTCTCCGATGAATGCCGTTCCAATCCGAACGATGTCAAAAACACCCTATCCGGGCAAAGAGGGCAAGGGTACGATTCAACTTCATCCGCAACACCTGCAAAAGTTGCGATGAAACACCAACTTAGTAGCGCGCCACTTTTGCACGAGAAAAGGGCTGGAAGGTAGCGATATCTGGAAGCTTTTTTTCTTGCAGTGCTGCCACTTAGGCCTAACTACAGCTTAAGGCACTACTTATCTGCCCCCTCTCGTTTCAATTATTCTACGCCGCCGAATGCGCGTTTCGTTGCGGGATCTTGCTGAGTGCAATATCGACACATGCAGGGTAGCGCATGCGCATTATGGAGTTCTGCGCATCACTACTTGCCTTAAACCCTGTTCCTGTGCCGGAGAAAGTCACGCGATACTGCAGCTACGGTCCCTCGCCTCGCGAGCGGCGAAGACCGTCCTCGGATGTGAGAGTACAGCTTGTTTTTAAACTCTTATGATTCCGGATCAGTACCAGAATCTTCTTTTATGATCTGAGGAAGAAGGGACTCACAAATAGGCCATGACAGTTAATAGAAAGAGAAACTATGCCATAATAAGGCAGGTCGTAATTGAGCACCGCGCTTCGAGCTGTTCGTAAGGCTAATCGCTAGTCAGATTGGCACGGTCACAATAAGTGAAAGCTGTAGCAGTAGAAGAACTGGAGAACATACCTGGCAATGTTGTCGGTATGTAGGGCTCGTAATCTTGGGAGTTGTCGCTTCCGCTCTCGATTATAATCCTCTTTGTGCGTGGATACGAAAGCACGACGCCAGCCGAGCTTGGGACCTAATAGTTTATGGTCAAGTGAAGTGAATAAAACCAGATAAAAGCTGTTACTACAATGAAAACAGAAATAGCAGCGCTGACGTTGTTCAAAAACAGTGGCGCATTTGATTCGCATAGACATATTGGCGAGCAGGATCAAGGGCGTTATAGGTGGCTCATAGTATGTCACCTCCTTAAGAAAGAGGTCAAGCGCCGAAACGTTAGCCAAATAAAACTGTTATATCATCTTGTTTACGGCTGCAGCAACACTCAGAGAAAACCTCTGCAATATGCCAAGATTCATCGAAGGTCGAACGTGGACGCTTATGGTCAAGCATGGTTTGGTCCCGGTCCAACTAGGATAAATTGACGCCCCGAATGAGTTGAAGACAAGCTGAACACCTAACTGCGAAATCTACGGATCCGAAACATGCACGAGTTGAGCGGGTATGCAGCTGTAGAGCTATGCTACTTTCGCCAGTTAAGGGCGCGGAATTGTTGCTGGCATTGGTATAGGCTCGGAACGCTCAAACGCTTGCGTACGCTGGCGCAAAGTATAAATGCAGCTTGAGTAATGCAAAGGATGTGAAAAACAAAAGAAGACATTAGTCCGATGTTTGTTTGAGAACATATGGTAAGCCTTTTCAAACTCACCTGAACGCCACTTTCATCGACAAAACGTCCATTTGGCTGCTGCAAACCTACCACAATACCATCTCTCACCAGAAGTTGCTCGTGATCATCGTCGAGCTCACCAGTCCTAATCGAAACATCGTCAACCACGTCATTTTTCTCCTTATCTGAAAAAAAAACACCGCTGAAAGTAAGAAAGACTAGTCGTGAACTGAATGAGACATGAGTTGAGAAACTAAACGAACCAGGCACCGCCAATCTTGAAGTCCTCACAGACTTCGCCATGATTCGTGGAACTTTTCGTAGCGGTCCAGACATCTTGTAAAAAGAAAGCTATATGCGTTGCAAAAAAAAAGAGAAACTTAACGCTGTTCGACTGGGGGGGGGGGGGAAATATCGCACGATCTTGATGAACTACGCGCTTTCCTTCGGTGAGACCTGCGAACTACTGTCAAGTGTAAACGAAACTTATCCTACTGCATAATTTAGGACTTTTCTCATCAGGGGGCATGGTCAGAAAACGACGAGAACCAGCAAACGCTCCCGTCCAGCCAAACTGCGCCAGAAAACGTTGAGGAGGGAACTGCAAACAGGAGGGTGCCACACAAAAGGATAAAAATTCTGGGAAAAGCCTAAGCCAGCACGTGAATTCCCCTGTGAATAAGTCAGAGTTCGCCCAGAAACAGTTGTAGAAGTAGTGACACGGATTGCCAAACGTGCATAGCAAAAGGGATGAATGAACTCGAAACAATTTATTAACAGGAAACTAAAACTTGACCAACAATAACTGGAATACGAACAGTACAAATCAACGTTTTGGAACGTGCACTGAAAACAACGGGAGTTACGTCGAAACCGGAGAGAATTTCAGTCATGCATTCGGCAAAAGACACGAATGAGCGAATACATCGAACATGTCCAGTCAACGTAACAGTAATAATCACAACACTAAACACGGGGCAAAATTGGCACCCATTTACGTTCAGCTGACTCAACAAGTTACTTCATTTCTAAAAAACTCTTGAGATGCCAAAAAAGTATAAAATTTTCAGTTGCGAAGGTACAAACGAAGCTGAGGGAGAGATAGGCAGGCAATGCCGTGTTTATTTCTCGAGCTTGAGAGCAAGAATAAAGGCAGGTGGCACGATAAACCCATGCGGCACGATAAACCCGAGACGCGTACCCATAGCTAGACAGAATTCGGCGTCCCCGAGCAGGCGTCTTCCTTATCACCTTTTCCAAGTAAGTCATTCTTATGGCGCCCCATCAGGCTGCAACCTAGTGACCCGGACGCCCACCGCGCCCGCCCGCCCACGAATGTCCGACTAATGCTGATGCTGATATCGCTCCATTTGCCAAGTACAGTATGAAGCGACAACGGTGCTGCATTGATATACGAGTATATTTTCTACCGTATGTTACTGGCGCGATGCCAACGGGAAAGTTGTCCAAAATTGCTCTCTGATCACGTAGAAGAAAGGATTTTTTGCAGGTTTGTTTTGACCGTTTCACGTCAGTTTTCGCTATTTTCCCCACTATACAACACCGCTACTACCATTTTAGACTGAGAGTCAATTTATCGTGCCTCATGCCTTTAAGCTTGGCAGAGCGCAGACGAACAGATTCACTGCGGCCTCGCATAGAAGAGAGACGCTCTGGCTCTCCTTCCCCTACTTACGTTTGCATCGTGGCAAAAAATATATGTGGTTTACTGTCGATTTCACTCCGAACTAGCGGCTGCACGTTCTAGAAAACGTGGTGGCTTCTTCAAATAGACATCAATTGGACGCTCAAAACCTAAAAGCAAATCGAAATTACACATTGAAATTAGCACTAAAAGATCAGATATCACATATCATGACCTACCTTTGGTTTTCGCGCAAGGAGCACCGAGATGTTCCACACTTTCGAAACCCACTTCTTCAATGAGATACATCTCAAAATCTTCCGGTTTGAATTCTATAGAGGCATAAGTTGCTTTCATCTTTTCCTGAAAAATTTCCAAATTCCTTTGAGGTTTTTGGACTTTCCGCTCTTTTTTTCTATACGTATGTTTCTAGATTTCTTTTTCTACTAGTTTGAAAATAACCTTGACTACCATAGTACCATAAATAGTACCATAGTACCATAAACGAACGAACCGTCATCTTTGCTCTCTTCCTGTAGCTGGCGAACGGCTGCGGCTCAAGAATAAATCTACCGCCTGGGAGCAGCTGGTTGAACGCACGACGGAAGAATCGCCGCAAGCCATCGTCACCGAAATTCAAGTGAATCCACTTTGTGATGCTCAATGCCAAAATCACATCAAATTCTTCTTCGACCTGAAATAAGCGCCGCATGACACTCATAATTTTAAAAAATAGCTGCAATGTGCTCTCCAAGACATACCGTTTCCAGCAGCTCATCACTTTCTAGCACGTAGTTTTCTCGTCGGAACCACACATTATCAGGGAATTTCGTAGAGAAAGATAAGGTGTGATTAGAAATCGGACCAAAGTTGGTGCAGAACGACGCAGGAAACTTTCCGACGAACTGGAAATAAAACCACTGTGTTTTCCAAATATGGATTCAACAAGGGGAAATATCAGCGGTACCTCGGTATCTTGGTCGCAATAATGGCGAATGTTTTTACGAGCCACTCCCACAAGATGATCGTCAATGTCTATGCCAAGGATTCGACGAGGTCCATAGTCACGTGCGATTGACAAGGTCAAGAAACCCACGTTGCACCCTATAAAAACATTTGTTTCTTTATATAAACTATTATCAAACTCGATAATAGTTTAATAGGCTGGATGAGAAGTCCTACAACACTTCGAACCACTTTCAGTGGCAAACTCTTTTAATTCAGGAGCATGCGCGAAGCTCTTATACGCCAATTTCATGGAAAACCTCGAGAGCATTGGTAGCCAGAGGCCAAAGCATGTAAGAAAAGGTTTCCGTTGTCTTCAGGACGTTTCGTACGAGATGTCGCAGGGCTTTCCGTCCTACCTAGTGTACCCCTTTGGGGTATAAGGCGCATGCGACAACGTCGCGCACAGCAACAAATTCCCTTCGAAGGTACATGGGTGCTTTATACTCCAGAAAATAGAGTAGTTCGAACGAAAGTATCTATCCGACTAACCAATATCAAGGACGCTCTTCTTTTCGAACCACTCCTTTTTCATTATAGACAATCGACTATCTTTTTTGCCAGGTTCCAGCCGTGCACCGTAGTAACGATCGAAATTTCCATAGCAATACCTAAAAGAATGTATTCGCGCATATCCGCATACTATACAGATGCAGTGAAAAGATTCACTTCCCCCCCCCCTTCAGAAAAATGAAATTTTTACAGCTGATTTTATAACAGAATAAGTCAACTTTGAAAT